CAGACTGTTTGCTCAGTGCTCAGTGGAGAATTCTCACAATGTTTCACAAATATCTCCTCCCATTTATGACAAGAGATGAGCAAACAAGATACCAGGAGGCGGAGGCGCTGGAAAGGACCCTGGGACAGGAGCACCGCTTCCCGGCTCCAGCAGGACCGCGCGCAGCCCGACCCCCTGCAGCCCCCGCCTCCCCGCTCCGCTCCTGCCTCCCCTCCTCCTCCCTCCGCTCTCAGCACCGGTCCTTTCCCGCCAGCGGGCTCACACGTGAAATTTCCCTTTTTCTTACACAGTCAGGGTCACAGGCTCTCTCACACTCACGGTGCCGCCCTCACACTCAGGTCTTGCACACTCACAGTCACCCTCAGGCTCTGGGCTTCTCTCTCTCTCACACACACACACACACACACACACACACACACACACACACACACACACACACGCTCAGCCTTACACGCCAGCGGGAGGTCCCTCCCGCACGCAGGGTCGCGCTCATCCGCAGCGCCCATCACGTGGCCCGGCCCGCCCGCCCCACGCCCGGCCCCAGGCCCGCATCCCGCCCCGGGCAGCGGCCGCAGGGACCACGCGGGGAGATCGGCCCCACAGGACGCAGCCCCGCCCCGCTGCCCCGCTGCCCCCGGCGCCTGCCCGCGGCCCGTTACCTCGCGGGTGGCCAGGCGGCACCAGGATGCTCGGTCGCGCGGCCGCCACCCCCGCCGCCCCGGCCCAGGCCCCGCCCCGCCACGTCACCTGCGGCCGGATCGCGACAGCGCGCGCCGCCTCGGGACAGGGCGCCCGGCTCCTCCGCTCGGGGCCTGCGGGCAGCCGTCCGCCCCGGCCTCAGCGGCCCGACCCACGTGTGCTCTCCCGGCCTCTGCGTGCACTTGGCAGCCGGTCCCCAGGACGGCCATGCCGGGCCCCACGCGGCCGTGACCCGGCCCGGCCTCCGGTGCCAACTGGCGTGCCACTCCCTGGCGCTGCACGGAGCCACCCCAGCTTCCGCGGAGGGCGCCCACCGGCCCCAAACCCCCATCCCCCTGGCCCTCGGCCGGGCCCCCAGCCAGGGGACCCCCAGCCAGAGGGACACACACAGCTTACATAAGGACCTCTGACAGCCTCACCTCCTGGGCAGCCAGCCCTCCACTCCGATCCTAGGAAGACGCAGACGCAGGACTTGTCCTCCACATTCACAACTCAGACATGCCACTAATCTATGGAGCCCCCCCACACACACACACAGGCCCATGGACACTGCTGGGCTTCGGGCCTTTCTGGGGTTCAGGCTTGAGGACATTTTCCATCCTCATCTTGCCGGACCCTGCTGACACCCCTCTTAGGGTACTGCACCCTCCTGCCTCTTCCTGTCCCGCTGGCTGCTCCTTCTCCATCTCCGAGGGCTCCTTTCCTTCTAATGGCCATGGTTCTGTCTAGGGCCTCCTGACCTTAGAGGCAGCTGAGCACTCCCCTGTAGCTTCCTGTCCACACTTCAAGCCCTGTCTCTCTCCTGGGCCATGAGGAGTCATGTCCCCCAGAAATGTATTCACAACTGCACATCCTTTGGTTCCATCTAACCCTACCCAAACGTCTGTCCCTCACCACCCAGTGACCCAGCCAGAGATGGGCAGCACTTGGGCCCATCCTCCTCCAGCTCCCCAGGGGTAATAGCCTCCCAGTCCCTGTTCTGCTCCCTCTAACTCAGCGGTTCTCAACTTGTGGGTCGCGACCCCTTTGGGGGTGGAACGACCCTTTCACAGGAGTCACCTAAGACCATCGGAAAACACATATATAGTTACATATTGTTTTTGTGATTAATCACTATGCTTTAATTATGTTCAATTTGTAACCATGAAATTGGGGCTCACCACAACATGAGGAACTGTATTAAAGGGTTGCGACATTAGGAAGGTTGAGAACCACTGTTCTAACTCATCCCCACCGGATAGAGGGTGCTCTGAAAATACAGATTGGAATGACTTCATGTCTCCTCTGCCTAAAAACCTCTCCATCCTCCTCCGTACGGTGGACCTGAGATGAACTTTGAAGAGCCCTCAGTGGTGCTGCCCTCGTACTCTCTGCTTGGAATACCTCTAAGTGTCGATGAGAATTTATGCATATTGGGAGTCATTAGAGCCTGACCTTTCACCCCCTAGATCAGTTCTCCTGCCTACCTGGCCAGGCAGAGGAAGGGCTCTGGACACTCGTGTCACTCAGTAGCAGCCAGTCCACTTGTCCTTGCAAAAGCCACATATATGACCTTCCAGCTCCCAGTGTTACCGGAAAAGGGACCAGGCCCGGAGCGGGGCTGCCTCCGCTGGCCTGATTTGTGTTGGGTTCTTGATTTCATGCAGAAAAGATTTCACAACATGAGGCCAGGTGATTTTAAGAGTACATTTATTAAAGCTGGGGACAGTGAAACAAGCAAAGGCTTAGGAGAGAAGAAGCAACAGGAGAGCCCAGCTTTGGCTCACAGGGAAGTCAGAGAAAAGGGGGTGTTTGGGACAGGTTCAGGGGGTTAGCCAGAACGAACTGCAGCTGCCCATTGTTCCCCTGGTTGTAAGTGGGACCCTTAAGAGTTTAGGAGACGCACATGTGAGAGGGAAGGAAGGCATGGGCAAGCACACCCTGCGTACTTGTCTTGAGGGTTTTGAAGACGGGGAGTTCACGGTCTCACACCGTTACAGCAGCCCACCGCTGAAAGCCCACTCTGCACCAAGTAAGTACTAAGTCAGATGTCCTCCAGCACTACCAGTGTTACTTGGTATATTTATTCGTCCCCATTCTTCAGATGAGCAAACTGACGCTCAGGAAAGTCAGACTGATACAGGATAGTAAGAAGCTAGGAAAATTCTTTGGCAGGTGGAATGGAGAAACTGAGACAGATAGCTGAACACACTAGCCGAGCACTTTAGAGCAGATACAGAAGGTTACCAGGGTGGAAATCCCTGGGTGCCTAGCAATGGACAAAAAAATTGGTGCCGGACCACGTCACCAGGGTGGTCTTTCCTCCTCTGGTATATCCCTGGCTATGCGGGTTAGACCCCCCCCCCCCCCGGGACCCTTCCTCCCTAGAGATAACAGATAACATCTAGGCCTTGGTTGTATTTCAGGTCTAATCCCATAAAAGCAGCAAAATCAGGTGGGCGATGCCAGGACCAGCTGCGATAACTATTGACCCTCTCTTCCTGGCGCCAACCAATCAGTGGTGACCACGACCCTGAAAGTATTCACCTAGAAAAGCTGATGACTATTCTATTGAGATCCTTCCCTAAGACCTCTCCTAAACTCTCAGCCTTCAAAACCCAAGCCTAAGGAATCAGCATCCACTCTTCCTCCCGGGAGCATGCCCCTGGGCATCCCCTCAACTCTAAGGGACCTGAGACTTTCAACCAAGGGGCCTGTCTCTAAGGCCCCCTTTCTTCTGACTGGCCAGTGAGCTGACGGCAGCCCCTCCTTGGCCCATTTCTTTCTCATAATGTTCCTGAGAGCAATAGCAGCCCCGCATAGTCTCTCTCCTGTTGCTTCTTCTCTCCTTAGCCCTTCCTTATTTCGCTGCCCCCAGCTTTAACAAACGTACTCTCAAAATCACCTGGAATCTTCTCTCAAAATATTGTGAAATCTTTCCTGCATGAAGTCAAGACCCTCATTGGGGCAGTCCCTGTCTGGTAACAAGGAGAGTCTACAGGCTACTTGGCTGAGCTGGCAGAGCTCAGAGTTGCACCCCAATCTGCTGGTCCTGAAGCCTGCTCTGATTCCATGCTCTCTCTGCAGCTGTGAACAGAGGGTGGCGGTTCAGCTGAAATGGGTCAGGGGTGAATGGGAGTGCAAGGCCACCACCAGGGCATGGCACGAATGGGCGGGTAATCAAGGCAGAGCTGGGAGTCAGGCTGGGCAGTGCCTGGGGGTGAGGGTCTGCTCCTTTTCATGTTGTCATCCTTTTGCCAAGGCCAGCGATGCAGCTGGACCTTTGTTTCCCTAGGCACCCTCACCCTCTCTGGACCAGCGCTTCTTCCAGGTTTAGCCAATATCTAGTGCAGTGGGAGGGTTCAGAGCGCCTTCTAGTGGCCTCCAGGATGTCTCAAAGCCTGAAGCCCAGGCTGGCCCTGGCCTGTAGACAGGAACTGGAGCTCCCACCACCCTAACACGCCCCTGCCTGGCTCTGGGCTCTGCACTAGAGAATTCAGGCCTGGACCCCATCCCTATGCATGTGTTCCTGTATCAGACTCTCTGTCTTTATCCATTTCCACTTGCTCCCCAGTCTCTCAGTCCATCTCTGCCCATCTTGGCCATACCAGTCTCAGGCTCCCTCAGTCGCACTCTGTCCCCTAGCAGGACAGATGAGCTGAAAGAAAGTAGAAGGGTGGCATCCTAAAAAGAACTCTAGGTTCAAAGGATGCTGAGACCTACAAGCTGAGAGAGAAGAGAAAGCTGGGAAGGGGAGTCCAGCCAGGGTGACCTGCAGTCTTGTCCCTGGTACCCCGATCTGAGGTGGCATATAGGGCCTGCTGACCAGGCAGGAGCAGGAGCTGCATTCCAGGAGGAATGGTTCAGCCCTAACTGGTTTGGCTCAGTGGATAGAGGTGTTGGCCTGCGGACTGAAGGGTCCCAGGTTCGATTCCGGTCAAGGGCACATGCCCGGGTTGCGGGCTCAATCATTAGGGGTGTGCAGGAGGCAGCTGATCAATGATTCTCTCTCATCATTGCTGTTTCTATTTCTCTCTCCCTCCCTCTCCCTTCCTCTCTGAAATCAATAAAAAAAATTTTTTTTTTTAAAAAAAAGGAATGTTTCAGGTCCTGGTTCTTAGTCCCAGGAGGGGAACTAGATTCCAGGAGAAGGGGCAGGAGAATATAAGCCCAAAGCGGTGCATAGGAGCCACGCTCCGGTGCTGAGAGAACCCACCACGGCCGCAGGAAAGACCTGGCCCCTGATTACCTGCTCTCTAGCCCTCTTACCCCTCCACTAGCTCCCTCCTCTCACACTCCGAATAGAGCCTAGGCCAGGCAACTTTACAGCATCCAGAATACTTTTATTGCCACAATCAAGATACAGCCTGCTCAGGGCCCGATAGGGGGCCCACCCCTCAGGAACACAGGGAGAGACAGACGCTGGGTACGTACGCAACAGAGAAAATCCGGCTCCAAAGAAACCTGTGAGAGGGCAGCACAGTCCCGCCTGATTGTGGTTTTGGGCCCTCACCCTAGAGGCTAGAGAACCAAGTCTTGGCCTATAGCTGTTGCCCACTCAGAGACCACTGCCAAAAGGCAGATACAGACTCTCCAGCTCTGCTGTCATAGGAAGACCATACCAAGCATGTCAAACTCAAAGCCCACGGGCCGCATGCCTCGTGTATTTGGCCCGTGTTAGCCTTTGAGTTTGACATGCTCGACCCACGCAGCATCTGGGGGCAGACAGGAACCCCGCAGGAGGGCTCCAAGGCACCTGGCTCTCACAGGGGCCCACTCAAGTTCCTGAACTAGTCCCTGCAGACTAAACACCACTGTGCTGCCTGGTGGAGGTAGGTGCTGGGCAGGGTGGGCGGGAGCCCAACCTCCTCTCAGCCCTGTGCCGGCCCACGTGGGTGCTAGAGAAACCCTATGGCAGGGTGACAATATGGTGATGGGGTTAGCAAGAGGTCAGGTTAATTAAAAAAAAAAAAAAAGGTCAGGTTAGGGAAGCTCTGAGTCACTTTGGTCCGATCTTGAGTTCTCTTTCTTCATCAGGATCTAAAAGGCTATGGCACTGAGTCCTGAATAGCAGTTCTAGGGTGAAGGGAGCCAGCATTGATACTGTCAACCGGTGACAGCCCACCAGGGGATCAGAGCTCCTGGGATACAGCCTGCAGAACTGGGGGGGGAGGGGCTGCCCACTCCTCAGCGAGGCTATTCTTGGAGGTGAGGGAGGTAGGAGTGAATGCCCCACAGCCTGGGAACCACAGAAAACACAGCCCACCCCTGCCTGCAGGGGGAAACGGGCTGCCCCCAGAGAGCCACAGTTGGGCTGTTGTGCAGCAAGGCCACAGGAAAGCCAGCAGCTCCAGCTACCCGTGGCCAGTGGCAGTGGTACCTGTGGCCAGCCAGTGGGAAGCATCACCCTAGGGACAAGGAGCCCATCGCTGGGATCTCTGGGGGCAGGGACCACAGCTCAGTGATATCCCTCACAGGAAGTCTGAGGGGCCAGGGCCTAGTGGGCAATGTGAAATGGCCACAGGAGTAGCAGGAGAACACATGGACCCTGAGTTGGGGGATTGGATCCAGGTGCAGCCAATCCACCTGCTGCCGGTCCTGAGGTCACAACGATTCCATCAGCAGCAGCATTCTCTCCATTAAGAGTCCCTTGAGTGAGTCCAGACTATTTCTTCCTTCCTCTCTTCCAGAGAAAGGGTAAGAAATGGCACTTCCCAACGGCAGATGTTTCATAACCCAAGACGTATGGCCTTGGAAGGTCAGTTACAAACTGCTAAACTCATGGGCCACGGCAGCCCGGGAGGTCAAGAGCAGCAGCTGTGGCCAAGCCATCCCACAGCCCTGCCTGGCACAAAAATCAGGGCCCAAGGAGCAGGAGTTTCAGATAGGCCAGGGTAGTGGCATTGGCCAGCATCTCAATGTGCTCGCTGCCTGGCAGCTCCTGCAGTGAGACCTGGTGTTCCTGGCGGCTGCGCCAGGTCTGGCACTGCAGGGCACTCTGTAAGTTCACAGTGCCGTCGCCATCACCAAAGTAGATTTTAGGGTCACGGTCGGGGAAACTCTCATAGTGGAAGGAATCTGGTGTGGGGACACCCGTGCCATAGAGGCAGTGCAGTGGCACGCCAGGTGGCACCATGGCTTCAACCAGCCCCTCCGTGTCCTGCCTCATGAGCCAGCCGTCTTCGAAGCCGATGTCCTGGAAGAACTGGCGATAGTCGCGCAACGTGTAATTGGTCGTGGATGTGCGTACAAAGACCTTCTCAGGTGACCAGGTATAGTTGTAGGGCAGCAGCCAGCTGGTAGAGACAGCAGTCCGCTGCTGCTCCCGGATCTTCAGGGGACTGATGACTGGGATCCGGTTGTTGTCCCCTGCAGGGAGAGGGCTCCAGTCAGTCAGTGCTCAGGAGTGCAAGCTGGCTGGGCACCATGTTCACCACCACGGCCCCTGCTGGACCCCAACCAGTGGCCCAGTCAGCGCACCAGTCTCTCCAGTTACCATTATAACTCCCGTGCCTGCATTCCCTTTTATTGTTTCCCTGTAATTTTGCCACATCTGGGAAGCACCCAACCCCTTGTTTCTTTCCTTCTGCATTTCTTCACCAGGGATTTAGGCAACACACACCCACAAGGTGAATTATCACTGGGCCTGTAGGCACTGACCTTATCCAAGGTGAACCAGCAGGTTGTCAGCCCAGAGGCACAATCCTTTTTTTTTTTTTAATTACAATGAGCTATGCAAATATTTTTCTTTTTCTAGGTTTAGAACTGCAGCCAGCCAGTCCTGCCTGTCGCTGACCCGGGCAGCCAGGTCTGCAGACTAGAGCATGAGTCCTTCAAACACAGGAATGCCAACAATACACACACACCCAGTTGCCAGTGAAACTTCCAGAGGGTGAGTTGGAACTTGGGAACGGGAGCCTCTTGACCCTGTTGAGGACCCATGGCCACCCATCACTCTACCTCTCTGACTGACCACAGAACCACCGCTCTGCCTGGCGGGGCCTGGCTCTAAGACTCCTGAGGAAAGGGAGGCCCACACCTAGGGGTCCATGACTATCACCCTTCCCACCGCCGTCCTGCTCCCAGATTGCCAGGGCCTGAAAGAACAGTTTCCCAGTATCTGAGGCAAAGCCAATCCAGGGTCACTACAGGGACAGGCACTGGGTCTGACCTGATCACAACAAGCAGATCAGGCAGTGCCAGTGACTTGAGGAAGAAAGCTCATCAGATGGTTGGCCCAGCCCTGCGGGCACTGACCTTATCCAAGGTGAACCAGCAGGATGTCAGCTCAGAGGCACAATCCTGGTTTATGGCTCCTAAAGTGAGGGGCCATGGGGCTCACACCAGTTCTGGCAGAGGGAGGGAAGCCCTATGGCTGTAGCTGGCACATCCTGACAGACATGAAAATGCAGGTGGCCCTGGCTGGCGTGGCTCAGTTGGTTGGGTGTTGTCCTGTGCACTGAAGGTTGTCGGTTCAATTCCCAGTCAGCACCCAGCCAAGGGTTGTGAGCTCGATCCCCGGTAGGGGGCATGCAGGAGGTAGCTGATCCATGTTTCACTCTCACACAGATGTTTCTCTCTCTTCCTTCTTCTCCCATTTAAACAAAAAATCAATTAAAATATTTAAAACAAAAAATAAAATTCAGGTAAATTGGGGAGAAATGGAATGGGGAAAAAGGTGACTTTCACAGCTGCCTAGCAAGCAGGCCCAAACAGATCTGCACCTGCTTCCTCCTTGTGTTGCCAACAGAGGTTCTGGGCTGCTGCACATGGAGGTGCAACTCATAAACAGGAAACTGGCGTCTAGCCTTCCTTCTCTGGGGCAAAGGTGGGAATGAAAGCGTGAGTATGAGGATAGGGGAGAGGGAGAAGGTTCCCCCAAAGAACTCTGGGTCAAACCAAGTTAGGCAGCCAGGCCTGAGCAGAGTGCGTGTACACGTGTGCACAAGCAAGCACCTGCATGACCAAGAGTTATGTCCACGCACATGCTGTAAGACATGCGCACAGATAACCAAGGTCCTCAACTAGAGAGGTGACATTATTGGGAAAAGAATACCATTCTGGAGAAAGAAGGGTTCCCCATGAGGACACTGTAAAGGGGAAGAGAGGGAGCCACCCCCAACACCAGCCCCCCATGCTGGACCAGGCAGTTTCTTACCTGAGGCCAGGACGCGAAAGGTCTTGGCCACGCCCCCCCAGGGCGCACCCAGTGCCACGAAGGCACGGATATACTTGTCCTTCCAGGCCTGTGGCTGTCGCTGCAGAAAGTAGAGCGTGTACATGTTGCCCATGCTGTGGGCAACCAGCACCACGGGGCCCCCATACAGCTGGTGCATCTCCTCGATCATCTCCCGGAGGGCCAGGAAGTAGGGCCCATTTTCATCTGCAGGCCAGAGCCAGGCGGGAGTCAGGCGCGAAGGGTCCTGGGGCCTGAACTATGACTGTCTCTCAGGCCAGACCCAGGACTAGGAGAGGATGCTACAATTCAAGTGGGAGTAATATGGTTTCCCCTCCCATTCAATGAAGGTAGGGAACAAAGGGGCTCCCCTTCCCCCTCCTCAGACTCACTATCTCTCTCCAGGGCTCAGAGACACCGAAATCCTGGGGTGACGGAGGGGGAAAGACAGGACAGACTGACCAGGAGTAGGGGAGAGCCCAGGGCCTATGGTGACTGTGACCCCTTGTCCCCACCACCCATGACCTCAGCAGGAAACAAGGGTGATCACTTACTTGGGGCTCGGCGCCAGTCATAAGGGGCCCCCCGGACGTCCTCACCCCTTGTGTAGCCCCAGCTCACAAGGCTCTCTACCATGGTGTGGAAATAGGAACCTATACACAGAGATGTACAGGATTAGTCCTGACTGGTGTGGCTCAGTTGGTTGAGCGTTGTCCCATGTCCCATGCACCAAGAGGTCACCAGTTCAATTCCTGGTCAGGGCACAAGTTGGGTTGCAGGCTCCATCCCCAGAAGGGGGCGTGCAGGAGGCAGCCAATCAATATTTCTTTCTTTCTTTCTCTCTTCCTTCCTCTCTCTAAAGTCAATTAAAAAAAAAAAAAGAGCCCTAACTGGTTTGGCTCAGTGGATAGAGAGTCGGCCTGCAGACTGAAGGGTCCCCAGGTTCGATTCCGGTCATGGTTGTGGGCACATCCCTGGTGGGGGGTGTGCAGGAGGTGGCTGATAGATGTTTCTAGCTCTCTATCCCTCTCCCTTCCTCTCTATAAAAAAAATCAATAAAAATATATTTTTTTAAATTCATTAAAAAAAAAAAAAAAAAAGAGCCCTAGCTGGTTTGGCTCAGTGAATAAAGCGACTGAAAGGTCCTAGGTTTGATTCCGGTCAAGGGCATGTACCTCGGTTGCAGTTTCCCTGGCCCTGGTCGGGGTGAGTGCAGGAAGCAACCAATCGATGTGTCTTTCACATCGATGTTTCTCTCTCCTTCTCCCTCTCCCTTACACTCTCTCTAAAAATCAATGGAAAAATATCCTCCGCTGAGGATTAACAAAACAAAAAAAAGAAAGAAATGCATAGGATTACAGAGGGTACTGCCAGTGCCAGCCACCTATAACATGCCTGCCAAGGACACTGTGACCTCTACTGCAGGGAGGTCCCTGAAGGAGTGCTCTCTGCCCACACTGATCAGAGAACGACTCTGCCTTCAAATTGAGTGGTTCCTCCCACACTAGAGTCCAGCAAAACCTCCAGCCTCATTTCCCAGAGAGCATGAGAAGGGCCACATACCCACACTGCTTTTGCTGGGATCCAGGAACTCCAGTGAGAAGGTCTCCCCAAAGCCAGGGACATGCACATCCACACCATCGGGAAACTGGGTGGCCCGGGACGTCCTGTTGTAGACCAGCCTGTCAGGAGGGAATACTGAGCTGGTGACCCAATGTTGGCACTGAATTTGAGTCCCAATTCTGCCCCGTGTCCTGAGCCACACTCCCTTCTCATCCTCAGGTTTGGTCTCTTATACAAGGGAGACCAAAAAGTAACTGGGGGTTCAGAGTTAGTCACTGAAGATTGCTTCTGTGTATTGTTCTGAGCTAAAGACAATTTTAGCTGCCCCTCCCTTTAACTTGAATTAGGGTCCTTGCCCATAATAATTACCATTAATTATATGGTAGGGCAAACTTCTATTTACTAAACACTTGTTCTTATCATTCTGTAATGATCCATTGAAGCCCCCAGGGCACCTTACCTCAGCCCTAGCTCTTCTATCTTATATACCCACTAGAGCAGTGGTTCTCAACCTTCCTAACACCGCGACCCTTTAATACAGTTCCTCATGTTGTGGTGACCCCAACCATAAAATTATTTTCGCGGCTACTTCATAACTGTAATTTTGCTACCGTTATGAATCGTAATGTAAATATCTGATATGCAGGATGTATTTTCATTGTTACGAATTGAACATAATTAAAGCATAGTGATTAATCACAAAAACAATATGTAATTACATATGTGTTTTCCGATGGTCTTAGGCGACCCCTGTGAAAGGGTCATTCGACCCCCAAAGGGGTCGCGACCCGCAGGTTGAGAACCGCTGGGTTAGAGCATCATCCTGATACATCAAGGTTGCAGGTTCAATCCCCAGTCATTGCACATAAAGAATCAACCAATGAATGAATAAATAAGTGGAACAACAAATCTCTCTCTCTCTCTCTCTCTCTCTCTCAAATCAAACTTTTATAAAAGAGGAGCCCAGGACACTCTCCTCAATGTCACCCACCCCCGAATGCAGGTCTCAGATCCGTTTAGGAGAGGGAAGCACCAGGCCTGGCTGTGCCATGAACATCACACTTGACCCCAAAAGGCTCCCATCGCTCCATCTCTATGGATCCAGCTCCTAGAAGCCACCACAGTACATCACAGGGCAAAGGAGATGATGAGAGCAACACGTAACAGAACCAGACAGAGAGACACCCCCCACGCACACCTCAGAGGCCATTGTGTGGGTAGACAGACCAACCCTAGAGACATGATGAGGAAAGGGTGGTGGGAGACAGGAGGAAGGCCTTATGCCAAACCAGGAGCCCTGCCAAGGAGGCAAACGTGCCCGAGAAGACACACGCTAGACAAGCAGTCCCTGATGATCCTGAGTCCCACCCCATCCTAAAGATTAGCTACAGAAAGATGACAGGATTCCGAACATTGACCCAAATAATAGGTCCTGGTGACCTACTCTCTCAAGGGCAAGCTGTAGATCACCCCAATGGCCACTCAGCAAAGTGCAGAAAATTGTTCTGGAAAGCCAAGGTAGCTCTGTGCCGGGTGAAAGTCAAAGAGGTCAGAGGAGCAATGAAGGTAGATGAGCCCCTCTTGGTGTCAGCCCGCACCTCCGATTGGCAGTAACTGAGACCATGTCTCCGGTACAAAAATAGAAATGCAGATCAACAGCCCAGAAATGACTCTGATGACAAACACACACAGAAGAGGAAAGAGTCAACAAAGCAGGCATCTTAAACGGCGGGAAGGGCAGGGCGCCTGGAGAGACAGCGAGTGCGTCTCCAAGAAAAAATGTTTGTTAGATTCCATTCGGCTCGAACATTGTTTTGAGCACCAGCTGGATTCCAGGTTCTACCGCTATAAAGATAAAACAGATAGAGTCCCTGCCTCAGGGAGCTCAGTCTGAGAGGGAAACTTAGCTCAGGGTCATACAATTCTGGGTTGGAATCCTGGTTTTGCCCCTTATTAGCTGAGTGACCCTGGAAGTTTTGTAACTGACCTGAGATTCCAGATGTCCTTGCTATAAAACTGGTTTATAAACAGAACCTCTTCCATAGAGTTGCTATAAGACTAAATGAGCCTGGCTGGTGTGACTTGTGACTCAGTGGTTGAGCATCGACCTATGAACCAGGAGGTCACAGTTCAATGCCAAGTCAGGGCACATGCCCAGGCTGCATGCTCAAACCCCAATGGGGGGCATGCAGGAGGCAGCCAATTAATGATTTTCTCTCATCATTGATGTTTCTCCCTCTCCCTTCCTCTCTGAAATCAGAAATTCTGTCTGAGAGACACAAAGACGGTGCCAAGCAGACTAAGGAAATGGGAAGTGAGAAAGGGGAATGACCTTAGGCCTCTTAGGTGGGGATGATCTGGAAATGGACTCTGGGGGCCTCTGTAGGCTGAGTTGGCGAGCAGCACCCGGCCTGTACCCCAGCTCCCACCTGATATTGTCGATCCAGCAGTCAATGATGACAGGCAGCAGCAGTTCGAGGTTCAGCCAGAGCGTGAAGTAGCTGTCCGTCTTCTTGGAGCAGAGGTAGTGCACGACCTTCGGCTTGTCCAGCTTTGCCTCCAGCTGGTTGCCCAAATCGCCAGGCACTACAGTGGGGCACAGAACATGCATGAGGCCCTGGGCCCGACAGACTGGAGACCCTCAAGGCTTGAATCCAAAGGCCTTCTACCGTCCTAGGCAGGGCTTTGTCCACTCTGACCGGATTGGGAAACTGGACAGAGCACTGAGCCACTGAGCCAGCCAAAGGAGAAAGCACTCCAAAACAGGCTCGCAGAGGACGGCAATGAACAGAAACACGACGGGAAGAAGCTCCTATTGGCACCTGCTGACCTACTGAGGTCCCCAGGCTTTGCTAAAGGCCAGAGTCTGGTAGGTTCCAAAGGACAGGCCATCTGAAGAGCCCTAGCAGCTGGGTACACATGGACCAAGCACTGGAGATGGCTACCCTGAAACAACACACCACTCTGGTCATAGTTGGTGTGGGATCGGGGAGACTAGGCCTAAAGGGCAACTTCTCTCTACCTGAACTGGCCGATTGATTCCACAGAGCCCTGGGGAGCTTGTGACACTCAACTCGATCCCCATTGCTTCACTGCCCAGCGTTCAAGGCCTTTATTTTTATGATTTTAATCCTCATCTGTTTATTAACGAGAGAGAGAGAGAGAGAGAGAGAGAGAGAGAGAGAGAGAGAGAGAGAGAGAAAGAAGAAAGGAAGGAGGAAAGGAAGGAAGGAAGGAAGGAAGGAAGGAAGGAAGGAAGGAAGGAAGGAAGAGGAAGGGCGGAAGGGAGGAAGGGAGGAGGGAGGGAGGGAGGGAGGGAGGGATGGAAGGGAGAGGGAGGAAGGGAGGAAGGGAGGAAAGGGAGGAAGGGAGGAAGGGAGGAAGGGAGGAAGGGAGGAAGGAAGGAAGGAAGGAAGGAAGGAAGGAAGGAAGGAAAGGAAGGAGGAAGGAGGAAGGGAGGAAGGGAGGAAGGGAGGAAGGAGAAGGAAGGGAAGGAAGGAAGGAAGGAAAGGAAGGAAGGAAGGAAGGAAGAGGAAGGAGGAAGGGAGGAAGGGAGGAAGGAGGAAAGGAAGGAAGGAAGGAGGAAGGGAGGAAGGGAGGAAGGGAGGAAGGGAGGAAGGGAGGAAAGGAAGAAGGGAGGGAGGAAGGAAGCAAGCAAGCAAACGATTGGTTGCCTCCTGTGCACATGCTGACTGGGGATTGACCCTGCAACCTAGGTATGTTTCCTGACCAGGAACCGAACCCCCAATCTTTTGGTGTATGGGACGACGTTCCAAACAACTAAGCCACCCACCCAAGGTAGCATTCAAAGCCTTTTAAAGTTTATTTACTCCCAGTGACCTTTCCGGCCTCACCTGCTCCCACATGCCGTGCTCTCAGCACCTCCCATATCCATCCCTATTTAAGATCCATAATCACGAAGTGAACAACCAGCGCTTGGCTCTCCTTGGCATTCACTGGGCTTGGACTATGGACCCAGCCCTGCAAAGGGCATGCCCTCCCTGTGCACCATCTCACCATGTCCTGGGGGCAGCCACGGGAGGCAGTTGTAGCACCTGCCTCCGCCTCCCTTCATGCTGTGGGTGCAGAAGTGGGGAGTCCCCAGCATGACAGGCCTGTGGACTGGGCAGGGGAATACAGAGACCTTGGTCATTATCTCCACCATGGGAAATGGCTGAAAGAGGAAGCCACCAGTTCTGCTTTGTCTGGATACCTTTCACACTGGACTGGCTGTGTGGCCTCTAAAAATAGCAGTGGTCACTTCCTCAGACCTTGAGCCTAGAACTAGGGTAAAAGCCATCCACGTGCCTTTCACCTCAAATAACACTGGGAGAGAACATCCTTATTATGCCCACTTTATAGATGAGGACACTGAGTCTGGGAGCGGTAGAAATGGCTTACTACAGTCCCTTCCCCTGCTCAGGGTCTTCTTCTGTGTCACTTTTCTGGCCTCTGCTTCCTCTACTATCCATTTGAGCCCCACCCATAGAGGCTGGTCATCTCCGGATTACTGATCTGTGACCAGGAACAGCTTGTCCACTGCCAGCCATGGGGTTTCCCAGAATTAATACCAACTGCCTCACTCCCTGGGCAGGCTAAGATTCCCACTGCTCCATGACTCTGGGGAGGGACTGAGGCTCCTCTGATCCGACCTAGGATAACTGAGAACGGAATGACTTCATGAGTTAGCACCAATCCAGGAGAAAAGGCTGCAACCCTTTCATGGACCACACACGTCCCAATGCCACACCCTTTTTCTCAGACCTCCTTAGACTCACACATGACTCCCTGCGGGCCCCCAGGATAAAGTCCAACCAGTCACGAGCCTCAACAATCCACTCCCCCCTCCAAACCACTCCATTCCAGGCGGCCTGGACTCCCTACCTCCTTCCCTCCGGTATGTTCCCTGTGCCTGAAACTCTCCTGGCCACAGCTCCAGCTGCATACTCCAGGAAGCCTGTCCTGACTAGGTCCGTGGATTCTCTGTGCTTGCCCAGCCCAGACCTCATCTCCGGGGATCATCCTGGAAGCTTAAGGGAGGCAGAGCCAAGGGTGCCCAACTCCCATGATTAACCTGGGCCCAGCATCCCCCTGAAGCATTTGATGGCCCAGAGCTCCCGGTGGGGGACGCCTTAGGACCAAACTACCCGCCAGTCTTACCCATCTGTCACCTGTATCAACCCCATTAAAATACTCCCAGCAAAAAAGGCACGGGGGTCATGCAGACTCAGTGTGTAACGTATACCTCAGCAAGCCTCTGCCTTCAGGAGTCCTGGCTGGTCACTTGCACACTAGCTCTAGGACAGAAGTCTCATCCCTGCCCACCACCCACCCCAAGGAAATGCCGTGACGCCTGTACAGCTGTCAGGGGTCAGGTCCAAGAGGGGGTAGTAAGCAAGCAGGAGAGGTCGCCTCGCCCCAACAGAGTTGAGTCCAAGTAGGTCTGAAAGGATAACAGTGCAGGCAAGCTCCCTGACATCTGTTTACAGCCACGGTCCCACCTCTTACCTGTGCTTTTAGCCAGCCTCAGACTCCCTAGGGCAGCGGTTCTCAACCTGTGGGTCGCGACCCCTTTGGCGGTCGAACGACCCTTTCACAGGGGTCGCCTAAGACCATCCTGCATATCAGATATTTACAGGATGATTCATAACAGTAGCAACATGACAGTGATGAAATAGCAACGGAAATAATGTTATGGTTGGGTCACAACATGAGGAACTGTATTTAAAGGGCCAGAAGTTTGAGAACCACTGCCCTAGGGTCTCCTCCCTCAGGCCCAATACTACCCATCTGATCAGTCCGGGGGGAGCCCTGGTGGCAAGTTAAGACAGGAATCCTTTCCCCAATGAGCCTCCTTTCCTCAACGCTTCCGAGATGTAAGGGGCTGAAGGGGTCCAGACAGCCTACCAGTCCAGCCTAAGTCAACACTAAGGCCCCTGGGGCCAACTCTGGGGCCACCTTACCCCCAAACCGGCCCTCGGGAGTGGGGCCAAAGGGTCTCAGTCTTTCCAGATTAAAAAAAAAAAAAAAATGGGATACAGCAAGACAAGGTTTGGGACTGGCGCGGACAGGCAGACAGATGGACAACCGCAAATAACACTCCTTACCCCATAATCTATAAGGGAAGGTGACAGCGAGGTTGACCACACCCGCGACCAGCATGGCAGGAGGCGGACGGACCGACCCAGATGACAAGACGGTCCTACGTCCCCCTACCCCGTGCTGGGAGCCCATGCAAACCGGGGAGACAGTCCCCCTCACCCCCGTACCCGGTCCTGCCCGACGCACAGCCAACAGACCCACTACTAGACTCGTGCCTCACCCAGGACCACCGGAGGGGGGCGTCCGGTCGGAAGCGCCGGGTCTGCGAGCAGCAGGAGGAGCAGGAGGCCCCCCGGGAGCAGGGCTGCGCGGCGCGGGCAGCGGCGGGGGCCCATGGCGCGGGGCGGACCGGGCTCCTGGCGCGGGATCCCAGCTCCTGGCTGGCGCCTAGGCCGGGCGCGGCGACGCGCTTAACCCCACCGCCCACCGGCGGCCGGGCCAATCAGGGCCCAGCTCCCGCAAGCCGCCGGCCAATAGGGACTCGCCCCCCAGTGCGTCCCGCCCAGTCGGAGCTGGCCGCCGGGCTCCCGCTGGTCCGGGACTTGCTTTCCTGACAGCGCTGCGAGCCGAGCGCATCGATCTGTTCAGGCTCAGCCTGGCTTCCACCCTCTGGCCAGACCCAGCCCCGCTGCTGCTGGGGACCCAGCACAGGCCCCCGTCCTCCAAGCCCTCACCCCCCCGCCCCCCGATTCCCGGCGCCTGGCTGACCTGGAATCTGGAACGATCCTGGATGAGCGGCGGTTCATGGTCCAGTGACCGCGGCCGCTGAGCGACTCCGGTCACAGCCAAGGGGAAGGAAAGTAAGCCCCAGACAGTTTGGCGGCCTTAGGGGGTCAGAGTTGACCAGGACCTTTGCGCAACCCCCCCCCCCCCCCCCCGCCTCCAGTTCTTCACACCCTGCCCAGAGGATATCTGAGTTGTTCAGGCAACCCACGCCCAGGCAGGCACCCCTTTGCCGTCTGCCCCCCGGGAACTGGATGGGACGGGGACAGGCCAAGTCAGCAGGTTTCGTTTCTGAGTGAGATGTATGTCCTCCCTTTTAGGGGCTCGGAGTATGGAGTCACCCCAACAGACGGAGCAGTTCACGGGCAGGGTTGAGAGTGGGCTTGAGCCCTGACCCTGCGCCATGGCCCATCCGCAAGTTCCCTCGCAGAGCGGAAGGGGTATTGGGGCCGCCCAGCACACGGGAACATGGAGATCAAGAGAGGACACAGACCCACTGCAGGAGGAATGGGGGCGAACAGAATGGGCAAAGACTTCACAGGCGGTGATATACCAGCACCATGCATCTCTCTGGGAGAGAGGGACCATGTGTTGGAGACTGGAGGTCTTGATCCTCCACACATTCCCTCCCAAGGGCCAGTCACACCCTGATCAGCTGATTTCAAAATATACCTCCCCTCCCTCCCTCCTCTTCCTTCCTTCCTGTTGGTCTGTAGCTGACCCTTTCCACTCTCTCCCAGTGCCCCTTCAATGAATCTACACACCATCTTTGCCTGTCTCTCCTATTTTCTTATAGTGAAATACATTGGTCCTCCTTTAAGGTCCAACTATCTCCCACTTCAGGCTCTAGCCTGAGGCCTCTCCCTTCCCATAAAAAAAAAAACAAAACAAAACAAAAAAACACCGCTGCCTCCCTCACCTCCATCCCAGACCTCAGGAGAAGAGTCCCTGAAAAAACAACAACAAAAGAGTCCCTGAGGACCGATCTGGCAGGCCCAGTGTGGGAAATCATGGAGAGCCGTCTGCCAGGGCTAGGGACAGGCAGTAGATTAAAGATCAAGGGTTAAGTGGGGAGAGAACAGGGAGCATGACAGCTTGGGCCACTTTGAACCCTGGCACAGTCTGAATGTCTTGTCAGCCCAACAGTCTCAGGCGACCATGGGTCCCCCACAGGGTGGCTCTGTCCTCGGAAGTGGTTCCCGAGATGCCCCACTCCCACAGGCCCTGCAGGTGGTAGGAACCATGGCCACTGTGGGAGGGGTGCCACGGCTTGGTCAGCAATGACTCATGCTGGCACCGTGGAGAAGAGTCAGAAGGTGAGGAGGTGGGGGTCCCCCCATTTCACATGCCCCAACCATCCACATGATTTCTGCAGGAGGAATGGTGGTGAGTCATCCTGGACTCTAGATACCTCCCTGACGCTCAGGCCCACAGCCACGTGCTCATCAAGTCTCCCCAACTCTATCCTCCCAAAGCCAAACTACCCTCATCCCCATTGTTCTCCACATGCCAGATTGGCATTATTAAACACTGTCAGGCTCCATCATGTCCACTAATCCCACTCATGGCTCTCCCATTGCGTGCATGAATCAGAGTGAATGAGGACCCTGCTGTGTACCCTGGCTGTCTCCCCCAATTTCCACTCTGGTAGCTCTCTCATCTCCACCCTCAATGGCTCCCTTGCTGCTTAGAACAGAAAAACCTCCTTCTCCCGCAGGACTTCTGCACTTGTTGCACTGGGCCTCGTCTGCAGCCTCTACTTTTGGGGACTCAGTTGAGCTCTGTATTTAGGCCTCAGCCCAGACATGGCCACTGACTTTGAAGCAGCCCTTGCCTGGGTCCCATTAAAATATAATCACTGGCCCTGGCCAGTGTTGCTCAGTGGTTAGAGTATCGTCCCAAGCACGGAAGGGTCACAGGTTACATTCCAGGTCAGGGCACATACCCAGGTTTCAGGTTTGATCCCTGGTCGGGGCATGTATGGGCGGTAACTAATTGATGTTTCTCTCTCATATAGAGGTTTCTCTCTCTCTCTCTCTCCTATCCTCTCTCTTTAGACTCAATGAGGAAAAAAACCCCACAAATCCTTGGGTGAGGATAAAAATAATTATATATAATAAATATATGTGTATGTGTATATAAAATCACTGAAAGAATAGGCCCCTCACCTGTCCTATTACTGTCCCCTCCTGCACTACTCCTTACCACCAGCACAGTCCCTGGCATACAGCAGGTGCTTACCATATGTTGAACGAATGAGACCACCCCCTTCTCTACAACCCTTCCAGGATAGTATCCTAGTGCCTGTCAGACCTGGAAAAGGGGCAACCCAGTCAAGACCAGGGCTTCTGAGCTGGTTTGGTAGCTAGAACTGAGCCCATTTGGAGGTCAACTTACTCTCCTAAAGCTCATGGCTCAGCAGGCTCCTATTCCTCTGCTGCCAGAGCCTCCCCGGAGTCACGAGAGGCCAAACACTGACCCAATCATGACAGAGCCCTGCGGGAACTGGCCTAGGCATCGAGGAAGGCTGCCTGGAGCAAGAATTAGGGATGGGTCTTGAAGAACAAGTGGAAATTTGTCAAGAAGAAGAGTGCTCCAGCAGGGAGCGTAGCATGCACAACAGCCTCGAGACCTGAACAATCACAGCAGTGTGTCTGGAGCACGTGGTGGGTGAGAGTGGGACTGAGGTGGAGGACCCTGGGAACCAAACTTAAAAACTTGGGGGGGCGCCGAGACCGGTTTGGCTCAGTGGATGGAGCGTCTGCCTGCGGACTGAAGGGTCCG